AAAAAAAAAAAAAGGAAGATGCTTAATCAAAAATTGCTATTCTATGACTGGTTAAATGTGGTATACCCATGTTATGGAATACTACTTAGGAATAAAAAGGAATAAACTTTTAGCTGGGTAGTGCTGGATGCCTGTAGTCCCTGCTACTCAAGGAGGATTGCTGTAGCCCAGGAATTCAAGGCTGCAGTGCACTATGTTCATGCATGTGAATAGCCACTTTGCTCCAGACTGAGCAACACAGTGAGACTTCATCATCTCTAATAGAGGAATAAAAGGAAAAAGAAACTATTGATTGATACAAGCAACAACTTGCATGAATCTCAAGGGAATTCTGCTGCTACATAAAAAAAGGTCAATCTGAAAAAGTTAAATACTGTACGATTCTTTTTAATAAACATTTTGGATTGACAAAATTACACAAATAGAGAAAAGATTAGGAATGGTTCCTGGAAAATGAAGGGAGAGAGGATAGGAGAGGTAGGTAAATGTGGTTCTAAGAGGACTGATGGAACTATTCTGTATCTTAACTGTAGTGGTGGAGCCTACACATGAAAACACTGCATAGAACTAAATACAGTTGGCTCTCATTTTTCTTGAGCTCTGCATCCAGGATGGAAAATATTTGAGAAATATAAAAATAAAATATGACAACATTAACAACAATACAAATTTTAAAATACAGTATAACAACTATTTACATAGCATTTACATTGTATAAGGTATAAGTAATCTAGAAATGATTTAAAGTATGCAGGAGAGCTGGCTGTGATCGCTTATGCCCAGAACTTTGGGAATCTGAGGTGGGAGGATCACTTGAGTCCAGGAATTCAAGGCTGCATGCAGTAAGCTGTGACTGTGCCACTGAGCTCCAGCTTGGGTAACAGAGTGAGACTGTGTCTCTAAAAAGAAAAAACAGGCTAGGGGCCTGTAGCTCAAGCAGCTAAGGCGCCAGACACATACACCAGAGCTGGAGGGTTCGAATCCAGCCCAGGCCTGCCAAGCAATGACAACTACAACCAAAAAACAGCTGGGCATTGTGGCAGGCACCTGTAGTCCCAGCTACTTGGGAGGCTGAGGCAAGAGAATCCCTTAAGCCCAAGAGTTGGAGGTTGCTGTGAGCTGTGACACCACAGTACTCTACCCAGGGCAAGAGCTTGAGGCTGTCTCAAAAAAAAGAGAGAAAGAAAGAAAAAAAAAACCACAAAACCAAAAATGTTAGTATAGAGAAGGATGTGTGTACCACACTATTTTATATAGGTGACTTGAGCATCTTGGATTTTGGAATCCCTGGGCATCCTAAAACCAATTCTTGAAGGCTACAAAGAGATTACTGTATATATACAAAACACACACGCACACACCACACACACGTACAAGTAAAACTGAGGCAATCTGAATAAGACTGGTAGATAGGATCAATGTTATAATAATGAACAATAGTTTTGCAAGGTATTTGTATTGGGGGAACTTAGTAAAGGGTACAAGGGATCTTATATATTATTACTTAAACTATGTGAATCTGCAGTTATCTCAAAATAAAAAGTTTAATTTTCTTAAAATGTTAAATTGGAAAAATCTGAATATAAACTGGGAAAATATAAACTATATTAGACAACATTAGAGAGTGAGGGTATTAATAGTTACACAGGACAATGTCCTTATGCTTAGGACATACTTTTAAAAGTATTTAGGGATTAAGTTTTATGTTTGCAACTTACTTTTAATTGTTTCATATAAGTTGAAACAATTATATAAGAGAAGAGAGGAAGCAAATATGGCAAAATGTTAAATAGTAAATTTAGGTAAAGGGCTTATGAGTGTTCCTTGTTCTCTCCACTCCTCATATTTATTTTTTCAAAATAAAGGAGGAGATTAAAGATAAACTGCTATCCTAAAACTATGTTATAGGCCTACCTATACACCAATTAGTCTTTTTAAAAGTTTAAAAATAAATAATTGTTCTCCAAAAACTGGGGTATAGTTCTACGCACACTCTCAGTCTTAAAACAAAATGCCAATACGGATTTCAGTGTAACTCAGAATTACGTCGCACTGAACGCGACTTTCTAGTGTTTTCTAACATGAATTCACTAAATCTGTAAGACGTACGGGTATTTTTGTAATATCATTGTTAATTCAACATGGATGATTCTTTATTACTAGAAAAATCGGATTCCCAGAGTTGTTTCAAAAGAAGTGAAATAAATTATAACTGCAAGAGAAAAACACTAACATGCCAAATTTTAAATCTTAAGTTTGGGCTCGGCGCCTATAGCTCAACCGGCTAAGGCGCCAGCCACATACACCTAAGGTGGCGGGTTCAAATCCCCAGCCCGGACCCGCCAAACAACAATGACGGCTGCAACCAAAAAATAGCCGGGCGTTGTGGCGGGCGCCTGTGGTCCCAGCTACGTGGGAGGCGGAGGCAGGAGACTCGCTTGAGCCCAGGAGTTGGAGGTTGCTGTGAGCTGTAATGCCACGGCACTCTACCCAGGGGGACAGCTTGAGGCTCTGTCTCAAAAAAAAAAAAAAATCTTAAGTTTGGCAAGCACAGTTAATTCTTTCATAAGGAAATGTTTGGGTTAAAGAGGCAACCCACACATTAAATGCCAAACAAGAAATGAGCTACAATGTATTAATTATAGCACCAAGACCACGAGACATACTTTACAACGTAAACAGTCCCTACAAACAAATGCACGTATGGTTTTTTAAAAATGCAAACTGCACACATTTAAAAAGTAGGGAATAAGCGGGTTTGAACTAGCATGAACAACATCCTTCTCAAAAGTTCTTATATTCTTTCCCCTTAAGTTTTTGCAGTTGTGTTATAAAAGTCTAAGTCTAGAACGTCTGTCTCAAATGAAGGCTCTTTACTTTTCGCTTCCTACCGAACCGCCCCCTCACAATGGGCCCCACCTCCCGAAGACAGAGTTGGGGTGGGGCTGTTTCCCGCTCCGAAACTAAGAAATAAATGCCTCGTCCCAACTCCTGAAAGGAAGGAACAAGAAAGGCTGAGAAGCTGCAGACTCAAGTATGCAAAAAGGAGGGAATCGTTTGGAACGCTTTCTTTCCTGCACTGAACTCCTCATTCCTTTCCTCTTCCCAGGTCACTCCGCGACGCTGGGCCGGACAGAGACAGGTGAATCCCAAGAGGGGAGGAAGAGTTAGGAACAGACGACTGAGGGAGGACCGCGCTTGGGCAATGAATGAGCCGTGCCGTGCCGCATCCGCACCACCTGTTCCTTCCAAGGGTGCCAACGCAGCCTGCCGGCAAGGTTCCCACACCAACCGTGCCGCAACTCTTGCCGGTGTCCTCCGCTTCACTGCTGAACGCCGGGCCTCTTCTCCCTTAGCTTGGGGAAGATGAAAACCGGCAGTCCAGAAGCCGGGAGGTCTGGGCCTAGTCAGGAACCAGAGCCTCAAGCTTGAGGACGGGAGGGGGAAGCCTGTGGTCCTTAGCGTGCGGGCCAAAGTAGGAACCATAGAGGACGAAGAAGTGCATTCGGCCTGACTAGGACTATGAAGGCGGGGTCGGCTCGGTGCCCGCCGGGCTGAGGTTAAGGGTGACAGGCCCGGTTACTGGATAAATCTTCCCCACTGCTTGCCCAGAGCCTCACGCTTACCAAGATCCGCTTGAAGAGCGCGTTCTCCTTGGGCGGGAGGCTCACGGCCGGCATCGTTCCGGCTCCTCCCGCTGCTCCCGCCACTACCCGGCTCGGTTAGTCTGTTTGTCCGACCGCCGCCGTTGCCGTTCCTTGCCTGCTTCAGCCTTGAATACAGCGATCCGTCGCCACCAGTAGGTCTCGGGTGTCGCCGCGTCGCCCTTCCCGGACACCCCCTCCTTCTCGTTGTCTTTTTTCCTTTCTCACTTAACGCTGCCGCCGCCTCCCCCCCCCCCACGAGTCTCCGTCGGCGGTTCACGTGGTAACTGAACAGACGGACAGAGGCAGCCAAAATGGCGGACGCGGAGGGCTTTCCCACCCGGGTCACACCCTCTAACACGCAGGCGCGATGACCCCTTCTCCCCACCTCCTCTGTCCTGGAGCTTGTCGGGTAACCCGGAGGGTGGTGCGACTGCAAAGACGGGGAGGGTCCTGGAAAGGCCCCGCCCATTCCTTTAGCCCGTGCCTTCGAAGCGCCCGGGGAGCGACAGTCTCGTCATCAAAAATAGCCTTTCTGTTCCGTACTAGTACTAGATTGCCATTCATTCATTGGATAGACTCTCGTACACTGTGTGATCATACTTGGAACCTGAGGGCTAAAAAGCAGGTACAGATGTTAAGGAAATGCTGTATTCGATCATAGACGAAATACCCAATTAAGGAGCAGAGGAGGAAGGGAAAAAAACTTTCCCTGGGTGGGGACTTAAAAACAGAGATGGAGAGGAAGGGTCTTAGTGGGTTTTTTTGTTTTGTTTTTTTTAAGCAGTTTTTGCTCGCGGCTGGGTTTGAACCCGCCGCCTCCTGCATGTGGGACCGGTGCCCTACTCCTTTGAGCCACAGGCGCCGCCCATCTTAATAGGTTTTGAAAAGCATGAAAGAGATTGACCTTTTAAATGAACCTAGCTGACTGAGGAATAAATGATTTGGTGACTTTTGCCTAAGATGAGCCTGAGACAGATAGCCAGATCCGAAGAGACATATTTGCACTACCAAAGGAGCCTTTGCTTCGTGAAATTTATTTACAAAGATATTTTACAGTTTTCAAGTTGCTCCCCTGAAAAGTGTGAATTGAGAAAGATGTTTCCCAGTGCAAAAAAAATCCAAGACTAATACTTGAATTTTTTATTTATTTATTTATTTATTTATTTTTGAGACAGAGACCTTATTGCCCTCGGTTTGAGTGCCGTGGCGTTACACAGCTCATAGCAACCTCTAACTCCTGGGTTTAGGCGATTCTCTTGCCTCAGCCTCCCGAGTAGCCAATGCCCGGCTATTTTTTTGGGTTGCAGTTTGGCCGGGGCAGAGTTTGAACCTGCACCCTTGGTATATGGGGCCGGCACTGAGCCACAGGCGCCGTCCTAAAACTTGAATTTTTTTAGCTCAGTTCTGTGATCGCTCTTCAACAGTTTAAGAATCTATGTTTCAATTTTGAAATATGACCAGTTTTTTTGTTGTTGTTGGCTTTGTGTGTGTGTGTGTGTGGTGTTTGTTTGAGACAGATTGTCACCCTGGATAGAGTGCTGTAGAGTCACAGCTCACAGCAACCTCAAAGTCTTGGGCTTAAGTGATTCTCTTGCCTCAGCCTCCCAAGTAGCTGGTACTACAGGTGCTCATCACAACACTGGCTGAGTTGTCATTGTTGTTCAGCAGGCTCAGGTCAGGTTTGAACCCACCACCCTTGCTGTATGTGGCCAGCGCCCTGCCAACTGAGCTGGCGCTGTCTATGACCAATTTTTTAACCTTCACTTTTTAAGTTGTTAATTACTGATAAAACCTGCAAAATTCGCTGCCCCATGATGTCTTTCTACTAACTTAACTGAGTCTAACTACAGGTGATAATTTTGGCTTAGATATTAACAGGTTTCTAAATTTCTGGCTTCATATCCAAAGTCCTACAGCAGTATTGTTTACTGTGGTTTTCTAAATTTCTCCTATAAATAAATTTTTTTTTTTTAAGAGACAGAGTCTCACTTTATCACCGTTGGTAGAATGCTGTGGCATCACAACCTCCAGCTCTTGGGCTTAGGCGATTCTCTTCCCTCAGCCTCCTGAGTAGCTGGGACTACAGGCACCCGCCACAATGCCCGGCAATTTGTTGCAGTTTGGCCAGGGCCGGGTTTGAACCCACCTCCCTGGTTACATGGGGCCAGCACCCTACTCATTAAGCCACAGGCCCCACCCAAATATTTTATTTTTTATTTTTCCCTTCAGAGGAAGAAAATTTCTGGCCTTTGAAAAAAACAGTAGTTTCCACCAGAAACTGAGTACCTGATTAGATGAGCCAGCATAATAGTTTGGCAAATGTTATATTTCTTTCGGCTAGTAATAAATAAATAGTAATTTTTAAGTCTCAGTGAATCCTAGTCTGATTTAACATTTATCTGATTTTTTTCTTTAATAACAGTCTAATCACATCATGACTTGATAGCCTGAACTCAACAATGAAATATCTACTCTGATCACTACCATTTGACAGAGATCCCTTTTTTTTTTTTATTATTGAATGATAGCTGTGTACATTAATGCAATCGTGGGGTACAGTGTGCTGTTTTCATATACAATTTGAAATATTTTCATCAAACTGGTTAACATAGACTTTATGTCAATTTTCTTAGTTATTGTGTTAAGATGTTTATACTCTACTTTTAGAAAGATGGAGATCGCATTTAATTTGAGTTTTGCTGTGAATGACAGCTATGCTTCCAGGAAGTTAACATGTCCAAGGCTATCTGCTGCTACTGCTAATGATGATGATGGTAGTTCACTCATATCACACTGTGTATTTGTGTGTCAGTATGGTCAAAATGCTACTTCAAAAAACTTAGTCATAAATAAATAAAATCATTTACCTTGCAAACTTTAATTCTATAAAAGGCGTATATAGAAAATGTGAAATTTCTCCATGTGTGTAAGATGTTTTCTGTAGAGACTTTTATATCTTATTTATTATTTAGACTTTATGAAAAGCAACATAAAAGAAATCTATGTGTTTGTCACTTAGATTTTTTTAATTTTTTGTTTGTTTGTTTTTGGTCAGACAGGGTCTAGAGTGAAGTGACATGATCTCAGCTCACTGCAACATCCAACTCCTGGCTCAGTCTCCCAAGTAGCTAAGACTACTAGCAATCACCATTACACTGGCTCATTTTTATTTTTGGGACAGTTTCACTTTGTTGCCCTCAGTAAGAGTGCCATGTTGTCATAACTCAAAACAACCTCAAACTCATGGGCTCAAGTGATCCTCATGCCTCAGCCCCCCCAAGCAGCTGCGACTACAGGTACCTGCCCCAACACCTGGCTATTTTTTATTTTTTAAGAGATGAGGTCTCGCTCTTGCTCAGGCTGGTTTCAAACTCCGGAGCTCAAGCAAAACACCCACCTCAGTCTCCCATAGTGCTAGGACCACATGTATGAGCCACGGAGTCCAGCCAATTTTTTTTACCTTTTGTAGATAAAGAAACTTCCTATGTTGCCCAGGTTGGTGGCCTCAAGTCATCCTCCTACCTTGGCCTCCCTTACAGGGATGAGCCATTCAACAAATGCTACCATTCATGATTTTTTTTTATAAAACTTGTGGATATAGTCGGACATGGTGGCTCATGCCTGTAATCCTAGCACTCCCGGGGGACAAGGTGGGTGGATTGCCTGAGCTCACCAGTACTAGACCAACCTCAGCCAGAGGGAGACTTTGTCTCTAAAAATAGCCAGGTATTGTGGCAGGCACCTGTAGTCCAGCTACTTGGGAGACTGAGGCAAGA